TGTATATATATATATATATACGCGAATAATACGTGCGAAATAATAAAATAACGCGTGAAATTCGTCGACCGAGGGACATTTTCGCGGTGCTGAGAGCATCGAAAGTCGATAACAATCGCCTACGATCGCGAGGGGAAACCGGAGTTCGATCGGGATGGATATGCGATCGGGGAAGATATATACTGCCTCGTTTCCGCGATTCTCGTGTCGCGTTCGTCCTACGTGTTTTATCGAATCCCTTCTATCTCTCTGCCTGAGCTATGTTTACTTCTTTTTTTTCTTTTTTTTTTCTTTTTTTTTTTTTCATTTTTGCCTCTGTCGCCTCTCCTCCTCTGCTCATCCTGGAACGCGACAATGCGCCCTTTCCTCGAATCGGTTCGTCCGTATTCATTCATCGTGCGTTGTGATCTGTTTCCATCGATTTTGTAATCGATCTCGGAGGAGTAGAAAAAAAGGAGGTATGAAATGAAAACCGGGGGGGAGTAAGGGTCCTTGAGAACGAGGGTAGGGATTTCGTCGGAAGTGGAAAATTTAGAATTTCTTTTTTTTTTTTTTTTTTTTTCTTTTTCTTTTTAGGGCGACATTGTCACGAACGAGGAAGCACATCGCGTACGCGTTCGCGTTTTTTTTTTTTTTTTCTCTTTATTTTGTTCACCTATTGTTGTTTATCACTTTTTTTTTTTCTTTCTTTGTTGCACTGGTGTTGTACGTATGCGTGCGTACATACATACATATATGTATATCTTTATATATAGATATATAATATTTTTTTGTTGATATCATCGGCTATTTTTCTCCATCGATTTTTTTTGCAGTGTGGTTGTGAAAAATTAAACGAGGATTGAGTCGTTCGTTTTCTTTTTTTTTTTTTTTTTTCTTTTCTTTCTTTCACCAAAAAATGTTTTTTTGCTGTGTCTTGAACCGGAAGTAGAAAAAAAAAAAAAAAAAAAAAGAAAAAAGGAAAAAAAAGAAAAAAAAATCATTCCTGCGAACCCAAACTATTGCCTGCTATTGTTCTATATGCGTTTTTTGCTTATCGAAATGTATCTTGTATGTTTTCTGGTGAGTTTATTTTTTTTCTTTTTATGTTTTTCGTTTTTACGCATGTGCTCTCTACCTCTTTCCTCTTTCTCGTTCCTTTCCTTTCCTTTCCTTTCCTTTCGTTTGGCCGAGACGTGATTTTTTCTCTCTCTTTCTCTCTCTTTTTCTCTTTCTCTTTCTCTTTCTCTCTTTCTTTCTCTTATTTTTTTGCTCGTTTTCGCTCGAGGGGAGGGGGACTTTTTTGCTTTTGCCGACATTATTACAGTGTGCAATCACCGTCGAAAAAAAAAAAAAAAAAAAAAATTTCGTTTTCAACTCTCAACTCTCAACTCTCAACTCTCTCATACTCTCTCTTTCTCTCGCTTTCTCTCTCACTATTCGCGCTCCCTATATACTTCGAGTTCGATAATTTTTCGTCTAAAATTCCATTTTCGCCTTAACTATACACAATAATCATAATATATAATAATAATAATAATAATCACGACTCGAATACATCATCGATCACCTCCGAATATAGATACAATAATTTTTTTTTTTTTCTTCCTCTTTCTTCCTCTTCATCCTCTTCAACTTCTTTCCGCTTTTTTTTTCTCTTTCTCTCTCTCTCTCTCGTTCTTTCGATTTCTTGTTCGCGCGCGCTCTTTCTCTCTCTCTCTCTCTCTCTCTTTATTTCATTACACATCTCACAATAATGATCGTTTAGGTCGTCGTATATCTATACATATACATATACATATACATATACATATATATATATATAATTTATAAAATGAAAATAGGTACAATTTTGGACGCTTTTCTTCGTCGAAAAAACGCTCCGAAAATTTCATTTTCGCTTAATAATGCCCATCGGTTGCGATTCTAGTCCACTTGGTAGTAAAATTTTGTTTAGTTTTCACTCTCTCATTCGTACCTCACATTCTCTCCCTCTCTCTCTCTCTCTCTCTCTCTTTCTCTCACTCTTTCTCATTCTCTCGTTCATTCGATTCATTCGTTTCGAATGCATTTCGTGTTGCATTCGTATTCTCTCATTTACGCTGCTTCAGATATTTTTTCTTTTCTCTTTCTCTCTCTCTCTCTCTCTCTCTTCACGCTCTCGTTTTTTTTCTTTTTTTTTTTTTTGCTCTCGTTTCAACTCGACACTCAAACCATTATCCTTTCATTCATAAATTTCAGCGATAATCGCTCTCGCGATACATCAGCCTTTTTTTTTTTTTTTTCGCCTACGATTTCGAAAAGACGTGAAATTTTAGGCTGGCCAATCGCGTGCTTCCGGAATCGACGAGCTTCCAACGGCGCTCGCAACCAGAACAAAATTTCGTTTCGTGAAATATATACGCGCTTAATTTTCTACCTCTACGTCGTGTTACAATAAGTTAATATTTACAGTCGTTCGATCGTGACAAGTCAAGTTTCTGCACTCTCCAACTGTATTTGTGTGTGGGTGTACGTGTGTATGTGTACGTGTGCGTGCGTATGTACGTGTTCTCCTCGAACATCGAACGGCTATTTTTAATTTTCTGATTCAGCAACGCGATAGCAGCAGCTCGTCCGTGAACGAAACGAATCCTCGGAACAAGAATTGAATGATTGAATAATTTTTCACCCGTGAGTTTTTTTCTTTTCTTTCCTTTTTTCTTTTTTTTTTTTTTCTAGTTACGTTACTTTTTTCTATTATTTTTTTCCGTGGCGTGGAATTTCATTTCTAGTGCCGTGTGCACTGCAAATTGGAATTGGAATTCGCGAATGTCAATCTCGGGGTGGGATGAATTTTTTTTTTTTTTTTTTTTTTTTTTTT